TGTCCCCTTATCCATCTAACACCTGGACACCACACACCCGTGTGTCCCCTTATCCATCTAACACCTGGACACCACACACCCGTGTGTCCCCTTATTCACCTCCACACCTCCACACCACACAATGTTCCCCCTTACCCATCTACACATCTGCACACCACGCACCCGTGTGTCCCCTTATCCATCTACACACCTCCACACCACACACCCGTGTGTCCCCTTATCCATCTACACACCTCCACATCACACACCTGTGTGTCCCCTTATCCATCTACACACCTGGACACCACGCACCCGTGTGTCCCCTTATCCATCTACACACCTGGACACCACGCACCCGTGTGTCCCCATATCCATCTACACACCTGGACACCACACACCTGTGTGTCCCCTTATCCATCTACACACCTGGACACCACACACCCATGTGCCCCCTTATCCATCTACACACCTGGACACGACACACCCATATGCCCCCTTATCCATCTACACACCTGGACACCACACACTGTGTGTCCCCTTATCCATCTACACACCTGGACACCACGCACCTGTGTGTCCCCTTATCCATCTACACACCTCCACCCCACACACCCGTGTCCCCCCTTATCCATCTACACACCTGGACACCACACACCTGTGTGTCCCCTTATCCATCTACACACCTCCACACCACACACTGTGTTCCCCCTTATCCATCTACACACCTGGGCACCACGCACCTGTGCAACCATGTGTCCCCTTTATCCACAAACCTCAATCAATGCCCAGGCACCTTCATACCGGTACACCTCCAACTCACAGGTCTGCTGACCCTCTCAATGGGGCACCTGTGTGCGCACAGTCCCCCACCGCGCACCCGCACCTTCCCCCCAGCTCTCAGATCCCCACCCCCGGGGCACCAAGGACCACCGCCCAGCGCCCCTTGGGCCCTGACCTGTCGGAACTTGGCTCGAGCTTCCTTCTCCTTCATGCGGCCGTGCGACACGAGGTAGTCAAACACTTCTCCTGCAAGGCAGAGGCCGGGCGGGTCAGGGCAGGACTTGGGGTGCAGGGGTGCTGGGAAGAGAGGGGCGGGGCCTCACCGGCACTTGCATATTCCATCACCAGGTACAGCGTCTTCTCGGTCTCGATCACCTCGAAGAGCTTCACTGTAATCAGAGGGCAGCGGGCATCAGGCACCGACAACGGCACCTCTCCTCCTCCAGAACCCTCCATGGCTCCCAACTGGTGGCAAGATTTCCCAAACTCTTGAGCCCCACCTTTGCCCCTCTCCCTCTCTGGCTAGACTGTCAACAATGTGAGGGCAGGGATTTAAACTTGTTCAGCTCAGTAATGTCCCCACTTCCTGACATCCAGTAGCCACTCAGGAAATAGTGACTTGAGTAAATGAACATATGGATGATGAAACCCTGAAGTTACAGCTAAACACTAAAAAAACAAAACCAAACCCTGCTGTCACAACTGAGTCATGGCCAATTCAAAGCAACGCTCGATGACAGAGGAGACGTGCCCCCCAGGCTGCACCTTCCCTGCACCCTTGGAGTGGCCTGTGGGTCTGAACTAACCTGATGAGCAACTGAGGGCTTAACCCTTGTGCCACCAGGGATCCCTTCAGCCACACACTCGCTCTCACTGCTGCCAGGTCAGAACTGACTCCGAGCTCAGCCTCCATCAGCTTTTCAGAGGCCGTGAAGTGCCTGGGAAGAGACTGCCCATCTTTCTCCGGAAGAGCAGCTGGCGAGTTCGAACCGCCAGTCTTCGGGTTGGCAGCACACCTCCTTACCCACTAAGCCATCCAGGCCAAGCTAAATTCGCCTCCTCTCAACAGAGCTCCCTCTTCCTCTCTCTCTTAACAGTGGCTGTCGCTCTAAGAGCTCGCTGTTAGCCAGTCCTGTGTCTTGTTCAGACCACTAGCCCACACAGAACACACCTGTCCAGTCCCTGACCATCCTTGCATCCGCCCTGTGAATCCATCCCCTTGGGGGGGGAGGGGTCTCCCTCTTTTCCCCTGACCCTCTCCCTTATCAACAGGACCTGTAGCTTAGCCCTGTACCAAGCATTCTGCAGGGACCACCGATCCAATCCTCTCAATGACCCTGTGATCACTCCACGTCCAGACAAGGCTCAGGAGAGGTTCGGCGACCTGCCCAAGGTCACACAGACAGGAGGCCGAGAGGCCACTAGGACCACCAGCTCCTCCCTCCCTGACCCTCTCCTCTCTCCAAGCACCCCAGCTGGTACCCCCCACCCCCCGCCAGGAGGCTCCCCCAGCCCCTCCTTACCGATATTGGGGTGGTTGAGGCCCTTCATTATGCGAACTTCTCGGAAGAGCTGGGCGTGAAGGGAAAGGAAGAGAAAGAAGAGTGGGTGAGAGTGGGCCTCTGACCCCCACACCGGAACACCCTCAACCTCTCACACCCACTGACGTGGACCCACACTGGGGGGCCCCTCCCACGCTCTCCTCTTACCTACACCCCTGGACCTGACCCGGAAGGCGGGAGGGCAGGCGGGTCACCTGGCTATCCCAGGGACCTTGTCCCCCTCCCCCTCGCCCCCCCCAGTTCTCACCTTCTGCAGGCTGCTGGGGTTGAGCTGGGTTTTGTCAATGATCTTGATGGCCACCTGGATGTGGGGGAAGGGGGGAGGGGTCAGCCTCGTTTAGTGAGGAAAGGTCCCCCAGCTCAGCCCGTCCTCGGTCACCCTTCCTTCTTCCCTGCCTTCTCACAGAGCCCTCCATCTGAGCCACCAACTGTTCCCCATCTCCAGGGCACCCCCACGTCTACAGGGAGATTCTCTTGATTCCACAGGGGGCCCTGGGTGAGGCTGCGCACGGGTCAGTGAGTGTTATGAGGGGGTGGTGAGACCCCCTTTGTGGGGAACCTCAGATCACCCTTCCAGGACGTCTTTCATTGCTGGCGAGTCAGAACGGGGCTACAGCTGACCCTCCAGGGAGTGCGAGGCTGTAAATAGCACTGAAGGAAGCAGCTTCCCGTCTTTCTCTCACCGAGGGGCCGGTGGAGCGGACCACACAGAGGCTGCCTTTGGGGTAGGCAGCACACCCCCTGACAGACTGGGCCCCCAGAGCTCCCTCGTCCACCTGGCACTGACTTGTTTTAAATACACAGAGGGTGTGCAGTCATAAACAACGTCTGAATGTATGTCTGGAAGGTGGACTCTCTCTGGCTGCATAAGTTCAAATCCCACTAGCTGTGGAACCTGGGAAGCGCAGGGAATCAAGCCCTCAGTGCCTCAGTTTCCCCATCTGTACAGTGGGGGGTGATCTTGATGCTTGTCTCCTAGGTCTGCTGCGAGGATTAGATGAACTCCTGTGGGGGAGGCATGGAGCCAAGCCTGGCACAGAGCAAGGCATCCACAAACACGGGATATAAAAACCCAAAACCGAACCCACTGCCGTGAAGCCAAGTCAGACCCGTGCTGACCCTCCGCTGGGTTTCCCAGGCGGTAAAATCTTTATGAAAGCAGACTGCCTCCTCATTCTCCCTCAGAGCAGCCGGGGGATTTGAACGGCAGACCTTCTGGTTAGCAGCCAAGCACCTGAACTGTCTGCATCACTCAGTGTTGTTGTTAAATGCCATCGAGTTGAATACAACTCATAGTGACCCTATGAACAAAAGATCTGAAGCCAGTCCTGTCCTGCACCATTCTCACACTTCCTGACACACAAGAGCCCACTGCAGCGGTCACCTTGTCAATCCACCTAGTTGAGGGTCTTCCTCTCCTTGGCCAACCTGCCACCCTTCCCAACATCATGTTCTCTCCAAGGAATAGCACCTCCTAGCAACATGTCCAAAGTATATGAGGCAAAGCCTCATCATTCTTGCCTCCAAAGAGCACTCTGGATAACCCAGCCCTAGATCTAGTTTCTGCACAGGGTTTTGGGACTAACCCCCTCAAAACGCAACATCCATCAAATTAAAGTCATTCTTCCCCTTTGGGCTCAGTCCCTTTATAAGCTGAGTCTCTCAGGAACCCCTGGAATCGTGTACAAAACCCCACATATGGGAAACAACGTGTTCTCTGTGGGGGAGCAGGGCCCCTTAGCTCTCTGCATATTCTCACGAATCAGTTTCGAATTTTGTCACACGCTTCTTCTGCCAGTATTGAGACGATCATATGGCCTCTCTCCTTTAATCTGTGAAATGTGGTGAAATGCATGAGGAAATTGGCAAATGGGAAAGAACTTTGCATTCCTGGGAGAAACCCAACTTTGTCACTCCCCAGCTTTCTCTGATCGATTTGCCAGAACCAACTTGCTGAAATCTCGCTTGAGATTTTTTTTTCCTCATCTAAGATGGTGAGTTAAGGTCAACCTCTGATTTTTGTTGTTGTCTACAATTCTCTCTGGGTCCTCACTCAAACTCCTGCCACTGAGTCAGAACCAACTCACGGCTGACCCCCCCAGCGGGTTCCCCAGGCTATAAACTGCATAGCCGGAGAATGACGTTTTTCTGGCATGGATCAGCTGCCGGATTCGAACTGCCAGAAGGAGGCCCTGCCCTTGGGCTAGCAGCACAACTTTCTATGGACTCTGCCACCAAAGCTCTTCAGGTTAAGCTAGTATATAAAAAGGACTGAAAACAGCGGAACCTCTTTCTTTGATTTCCAGAAGAACTGGCCAATTAAACGTGAAAGGTTGGTAGAAAGTGCCCATAAAACCATCAGGGCCGGGTGCCTTTTTGGGTGCACAATATGAAAGGCAATGCGAGAACTGAGGAGAGACCACAGGAAGCAGCACAAATTGCTCCAACCACTTTCTCTAAAAGCTAAAGGCGATTAGAGAAGAATCCTGAAACCACGTGCCATCGTTTTTTTGTTCTTAAAGTATGAATGACAAGGGATCAACCCTGAGCAACCAGGTCTGCAGACCAAGTCCCCATCTGCAAATACTCTTGCCAGTCTTCTCAGCACCGTGTTCACACTGGAAGGGGAGGCGTGGGCTGCAAGTTGTCACTGGGGGCTCAAGGCCAAGAAACGGGGCGTGTTCTCATCAAGATCACGGGGAGATCTGGGGGAGCCAAGGTCCACCGTTAGATCCTGGTGGCCCAGATCCAGACATAAAAGCTATGTGAATTCTTAGAAATACCACATACACACAGAGCTGCACAATTTTCCTGACAACCTGAGGTTATCACCTCCTGCTACGGTTGCTCCAAAAAAAAAGATGACATGCTCTGAGCTTTCCTTGGAAAGTCGACAAGCTGCCTGAGGTCCCAAAACCAGGGGAGGACACACACAGGGCTGTCCCTGTGCTCCGCCATGTCCCGCACTCACCTCCCGGCCCGTGAGGATGTGCCGAGCGAGCTTGACCTTGGCGAAGTTGCCCTTCCCGATGGTCCTCAGCAGGCGGTAGTTGCCCACGTGGGGTTGTTCCTCTGGGCAGGAGGCGATAGAGTTCCGGCAGCGGGCGCCCAGGGAGCGGGTGGACCAGGAGGGCCCTTTGTCCGAGGAGCGGCCACTGCCCAAGGTGCCATGCTGAGCAGGAGAAGACAAGAGGTGAGCTGGGAGTGCTCGCTTCGGCAGCACATACACTAAAAAAAAAGAGGTGAGCTGGGGCACAGCGATCGCCTAGTTCTACCTTCAGGGCACCCAGCAGGTGGGACAGTCAGCACCAGCCCTGGACGCTGGTCACTTCACAACTATGATGCCCCAAGGGTCCTGTCTCTCTAAGATGCCTTCAAGAACAAAATCACCTGGGCTCCCAGTACAGAAGCACTCAGGGCACCAGACAGCTGGATCCCTCTCTACCCTTCATTCAATCTGCATCCAACGTCCTGTTCTAATTACTGCTGTTTCCACCAGCTCCACAATGGCTTCTTGCAGATGATACAGTCCTCAGCTCCACCTCCATCTGAACTCAATGCTCCAACCCAACCAGTACCATGACCAGTATTCCCTCTTAACCATCTACCTATCCCCACACCCCACCTCAACCATCACAGCACCTACTACTCCACCCAGCACCGCCACTGCCATTACTGTGCTGTCCTAACCACCACCTACCTGTCCCAGTCTACCCATCACCTGTCCCCAGTCTACCCCAACCATTACCTATCCTCAGTCTATACCCAACAACCACCTATCCCCAATCTACCCCATCACCTGTCCACAGCTCACCCCAACCATAAACTGTCCCCAGTCCACCTAATCACCTGTTCCCAGTCCACCCCAACTACCACTTGTCCCAGTCTACCCCAACCGTCACCTGTCCTCAGTCTACCCTAACACTTATCCCCAGTCTACCCCATCACCTGTCCCCAGTTTATGCCAACCATCATCTGTCCCCAGTCTACCCCAACTACCTCCTGTCTCCAGTCTACCCCAACAACCACCTGTCCCCAGTCTACCCCATCACCTGTCCCCAATCTACCCCATCACCTGTCCCCAGTCCATCCCAATCATCACCTGTCCCCAGTCTACCCCATCACCTGTTCGCAATCTAACCCATCACCTGTCTCCAGTCTACCCCAACAACCGCCTGTCCCCTGTCTACACCATCACCTGTCCTCAGTCCACCCCAACTACCACCTGTCCCAATCTACCCCAAACCATCACCTGTCCTCAGTCTACCCCAACAACCACCTGTCCCCAATCTACCCCATCACCTGTCCCCAGTCTATCCCATCACCTGTTCCCAATCTACCCCATCACCTGTCCCCAGTCCACCCCAACTACCACCTGTCCCAGTCTACCCTAACACCTGTCCCCAGTCTATCCCAAGCATCACCTGTCCCAGTCTACACCATCACCTGTCCCAGTCTACACCAACCATCACCTGTCCCAGTCTACACCATCACCTGTCCCCAGTCTACACCATCACCTGTCC